AGAGATGGCCCTTAGAGTCTTTTTTGATTTCATGGTGGAAGGTGCACCATTTCGCCACATGGAAGTTTGGTTTTTGCCCCTGAAGTCGCCTGAGCACAACCTCTTTCTCGTCAAGGTCAGCTCGCGCTTCCCCTGCAACTGCGAGTGTTGCTCCTTCCCATGTTATTAAGGTTGATACCTTAGTTTTTAGTCATTTCAACGTCAGGTCATCGTCGCAGGTTACTCTGATGATTTCACCAGATTGCGACCAAGACCTGAATGTGGGTGGCTTGGTTTTGCTGAAGAAGGCGGACAAGGTTGTTTTGTCCAGCTCTCCCATCAGTGTCTTTTTGACAAGGATTTCTCTTTCGGTAGTTATCTTACCGTAAGGGTTATCCTTGTCTATTATAGCTACTTTCAGGTGTCTCGTAGCTGCATTCTTGTAGCTTATCCCAGACAAAACTTTGTGGTCCTGTCTGGGTTTTTCCCCTTCCGGGGCGTTACCTCGGAAGAGGTGTAAGGGACTCTCCTAAAGTGAATGTTTGGTGTGCTGTGAGTAAATACAAGATTTACGGGGCATTTTTTTTGCCGAAAGAACAGTTACCGGTCCAATTTATACGGACATGTCAGAAATATTTTTGTACCCGCAAATTGACCATAACGGAGATTTACATGAAATCAATTTTCAACAAGATGGAGCACCTCCCCGTTATTCACTGATTGCTCGTCAATCAGTTTCTAATAAATTGGATAAATAATCCTGCTCCTCAAAATTTAGAAGAGCTAGAAGATAATATACGTCGAGCATTTGAAAGCATTACTCCCAACATACTCCCAATTTATTAATACGTTTACACAATTATTGTGTTAATGTAAACGGAGAACATAAAGAACATTTAAATTATTCTTAAATTGTTTAATAAAAGTTTGTTAAAATGTTAAATAAGTTAATTAGGCTATACTAGAATATCATTAATAAGCAATAATTATTGTTGACTATTGATTTTGAATACATTTTCACAAAAATTATTGATGAGAATTATTGTTTATTATTGATTTTGCAGGCTTTTTCAGAAAATTTAATTGTTCAGTCATTTCTTCATCGATTTAAAAAAACTTTATATCGCTAGATAGCTAAAAGTACTGGCTTTCGAAGCATCAAAAAATATACAGGGTGTTCCATTAAAAAATTAACAAATACGTCTTTAAAAAACCGCCATTTTGTTTGTCAGTAAACCGGAAGTGCTAAATAATTTTGGATTGACCGAAATAAAACTTGGAATAATTTTATACATTTCTGTGAAAACCTCATGTTTTTAAGTACTTTCGTTTAAAAGTTATAAGCTTGCTAAATGTTGGAAAATATAATGGGACACCCGGTATATTCTAATACATTATCGAAGCCTGGAAGAGGGCAAAACTTCAACTCTCCCAATGGGATCTATCCAAATCAGAAATAACCGCTAAAGTAAATTCGGTTTAAATCAAAACCGTTCGTAGAATAATTTATATTTATGTAGAAATGTAACACCGAAACTGAATATAAACGATATCCTCGCACCTTCCTCCATTATAAAGAGCCGGACATTATTCTCCAACTTCTCTTGTAATCTACAAAATTTTAATTTATTAGTGTAAAGGTCACACGGTAATTATTCAAAAAGATACTTTCCCTAATCTGACCACAACCGCGGACTAATGCTCTTCATGAATCATGAATCTTCTTTTTTGTTCAGTAATAAAGCAGTATTATACGACTATCGCCATCTAGGTACTAATCAGAATGATATTGAGAATAATTTACTGAAATAATATAGGTTTCATTTATAATTAAAATGTAGTTGTTTGAAACATTGATAGATGGTGCAACAGACATTATTCGATGACGACCTTCCATTTTTAGTCCTTTTTCCTAACTTAAAATCTTTAAGTTACAAAGGGTGTAACAAAAAAGATGTAAATTCATTTAACCACAGTTTCTGGATTGGAAAATAAGTCGATTTCAGCTATCTACCTTTCTTATATAAAAAATAGACAGGAAAAAGTTAAAGGGTGTTAAAATTTAAATGTTAAAAAGTGATTTTGTTCTCTTACTCTAAAACAGCATGACATATTTTCACAATAAATTCTTTTCGAACGTTTACAAAATACTTCAATGTTTCTCAACCCTTAAATTGTAATAAATTGTATTAAATTGTAATAAATTGTAATAAATTGTAATAAATTGTAATAAATTGTAATAAATTGTAATAAATTGTAATAAATTGTAATAAATTGTAATAAATTGTAATAAATTGTAATAAATTGTAATAAATTGTAATAAATTGTAATAAATTGTAATAAATTGTAATAAATTGTAATAAATTGTAATAAATTGTAATAAATTGTAATAAATTGTAATAAATTGTAATAAATTGTAATAAATTGTAATAAATTGTAATAAATTGTAATAAATTGTAATAAATTGTAATAAATTGTAATAAATTGTAATAAATTGTAATAAATTGTAATAAATTGTAATAAATTGTAATAAATTGTAATAAATTGTAATAAATTGTAATAAATTGTAATAAATTGTAATAAATTGTAATAAATTGTAATAAATTGTAATAAATTGTAATAAATTGTAATAAATTGTAATAAATTGTAATAAATTGTAATAAATTGTAATAAATTGTAATAAATTGTAATAAATTGTAATAAATTGTAATAAATTGTAATAAATTGTAATAAATTGTAATAAATTGTAATAAATTGTAATAAATTGTAATAAATTGTAATAAATTGTAATAAATTGTAATAAATTGTAATAAATTGTAATAAATTGTAATAAATTGTAATAAATTGTAATAAATTGTAATAAATTGTAATAAATTGTAATAAATTGTAATAAATTGTAATAAATTGTAATAAATTGTAATAAATTGTAATAAATTGTAATAAATTGTAATAAATTGTAATAAATTGTAATAAATTGTAATAAATTGTAATAAATTGTAATAAATTGTAATAAATTGTAATAAATTGTAATAAATTGTAATAAATTGTAATAAATTGTAATAAATTGTAATAAATTGTAATAAATTGTAATAAATTGTAATAAATTGTAATAAATTGTAATAAATTGTAATAAATTGTAATAAATTGTAATAAATTGTAATAAATTGTAATAAATTGTAATAAATTGTAATAAATTGTAATAAATTGTAATAAATTGTAATAAATTGTAATAAATTGTAATAAATTGTAATAAATTGTAATAAATTGTAATAAATTGTAATAAATTGTAATAAATTGTAATAAATTGTAATAAATTGTAATAAATTGTAATAAATTGTAATAAATTGTAATAAATTGTAATAATTTGTAATAAATTGTAATAAATTGTAATAAATTGTAATAAATTGTAATAAATTGTAATAAATTGTAATAAATTGTAATAAATTGTAATAAATTGTAATAAATTGTAATAAATTGTAATAAATTGTAATAAATTGTAATAAATTGTAATAAATTGTAATAAATTGTAATAAATTGTAATAAATTGTAATAAATTGTAATAAATTGTAATAAATTGTAATAAATTGTAATAAATTGTAATAAATTGTAATAAATTGTAATAAATTGTAATAAATTGTATTAAAATTTAACACTATATCTAGGTACACGCTAATATGTACGCGAAAATGCAAATTAATATTATCTTAATTTTTTTGTTATATTTTAAAATCGTTATTTTTAGGTGACATATGATCATTTTTAAAATCGTAAGTCAAACCTAATGAAAAAGTAATTTGTGCAATAAGAGTGTATATGATTGCCATATCGTACGAAGTCGAAGTCTTACAGTACGAACAATCCACTCGAGTTCAGAATATTTCTTCTACGACCCACCAACGAAAATATATAATTTTTAAAAAATATATAAAGTCATTAGGATAAAATAATTTATTTAAAAATTTTTTATGACGTTTACTAATTAATATAATAAAATTAACCGTATACCTGAAAATAATCAGTCTGGTATTAATCAGTGTACGCCAAAAGATGATGTCGTTGCATTAATGACGTTTCGCGTATACACAAATCCATAATTTACGTACACGTTATCGTATATTTAGACACAACGAAAATTGAAACTCTCAGCTCTGGGAAAGCACCGAATATTACTTTGTGAATACCTTAATTATATTGTGTAATATCTTTTTGTTGGGTTGAGATATACCAAGTAAGTTGTTATAAATTACCTATTAACAAAGTCTAAGTGTAGTCTTGATTGATTTTCTGTAAATATTACAGAATATTTTCAAAAAAATAGCTAATTTCTCTTCAGAAGAATGACATTAATTGCGCTTAAATAATTTATTAAATTCATATTTATTAAATTTATATTCGTTACTGTTTTTCTTATTGTAATTTTTTTTAGTTCGGCATACAATACAAAATTTCAACTTTCAATTTAAAAAAAATACATTGTCCAATCTAATCATGCAAAAAAATAAAACAACATACATATCTAATACTATTTTATTTATTAATTACTATAATTAGGATTAAAATTATAAAATTTTTGGTATTTACATTAAATGTCTTATTAAAGAAAACATTAAAGTGTTGTACATGACACAACTGTTAAATGAGTTTTACTTTATTTAAATTTACTTAAGTTAGTACAACTGAAAAGCCACGTATCTTTTCATTGCATGTCAGCTGTTCCCGAAATCTGAAAAATTAATACGCTTTCATTTTCAGCATTAAATTCCAACCCCGAAAAATCAATACAGACGGTAATTTCGGCATTTCCCACACAGATGCCGTTGGGCTCAAACTGCATAATGAAAATCCTATGCAAGCGATTTTCCCCATTTTCACAGTTACGTCAAATAACTTTCGATAACCGGTCACGCCGTTTGAAATCAATTTGCGTGACGTAAGAGTCACGAGAGATATGGTTGTGCAAATGCCGGAAAAGTTTCTGTGCCAAAGAAAATTCTTCTTCTAGCGTCTCAAGCAACGATCGGCTAGCGGCGTTAATTCCTGGGTGATGGAAACAATGTGATATAAAAAAGAGTAAGTAGACATAAAGGTTACTGGGTCAGTGAAAATGTGCACATGTTTTTTATGGATTGTTTCTGTCATTGATTAAAAAGAGAATTTGAATTATTTAATAGATATCAATTAAATTACTAGCTAGATTTAATATTTTTAAATTATTCATTAAACATTGGTAGAAATACCGGTCATGAAGATGTAAAATAGTCAATAACTAGGGTTATTAATTTTTAAGTTGCTAGTTCTGAATTTAGTTTTTATCTACGTAAGATTTCTCTATTACACTGGACACATTACTGTACCGAATTAACGCATCTTAGTCTAATAGCTCTGTAGAAGACGATATCGCGATTAATCAGGAACAATGATTTAACCGAAGTGAAAATCATGTTGCTCATAATCTAAATTGGGACTTTAGTTAGTAAGTATTTCTTATTAATGTTGTCCTATTTCGTGAAAATCTCATTTCTCTTCTCTGTGTTATATTTTTCAGTATCATTAAATATAGAAACAAAAAAAATGTATTCCTTCTACAATTTATCTATAAAATATAAACTACTCAAAATAAAAAAGAAGTGGAATAACTTGTTAATACAATTATTGTTGTTTTTTTAAAGTATTGGACTAATTTTTCTTTTGTTATTTTGATATAATCTATGGTTATTAACTGCACACATAACTTTATTATATTTAACAGATGAAAAAGTGGGTATAATAGAAAAGTAACATAGATTGATATGTGGCCAAATTAATTAAATAGCATTTTCTTGAAACAATGGTCAACTTAGCATATTATTATTAGGAAAATGTCTCATTGTGAAAAAGAGTATGTTCCTCAATGAGACCATTGAATTTCTAAATTTATTCTGATACAAACATAATAACATAAAAAACCCTTATCAACTTGAATACAGTAAAAAAAAAACTAAAAATTTTTGAATATAAATAAATAAATAGTGTGACGATCTAATTTATTTAAAGTTTATTTATTTAAAAGTCCACTTCTAACACCAATATGACGAAAGTCTAATTTATTTAAAGTTTATTTATTTAAAAACACACTATTTACAATTTATTTCAGACGTACTATTTAATTTATATAATATTTAGACACTAGCTAACAATTCTAATTTATTTCTTACGCTTTAACTTTTCAATACAATGTTCTATATTAAACTAAACTGTCCGCCGACGAGTCGGCTATTTATATTAAGTCCAGCTCCTACTAGAAGTCTCCAGACGGTTGTCTCGAAAATTCTATATCTGACTCAACGGCACACTTCGCCCATTCTACCCGTTTCTCGTCGCCTCGAGCACGAGTTGGTTGCCTTCTGAAGGCCGCGCTTGCTTTAGGCACAGAGTCGGATTAGGAATTTCATGACATTGCCCCCTCCTTAAGAAATAGTTCCTCCTGGAACTAAAACTGAATGGTTATATTTGCAACTGGATCCTTTTTTACAATTTCCAGTTGCATGGAAGTAACAAGGTACAGTCTTCGTTATAACCTGAACGTTGGGAGAATGGCTGCAGACAAGTATTTCAACCTGGGTATCTTGAAAGATTACTTCCACCATGTTTCTAATGATCCTCCAATTCAGCTAGTTGCTCTCCATCTTTGGCATAGATAGTTTCTGTATATTGGACTCCATTACATGCTCCCTCAGACTGAGTAACGCTTCCCATACATCCTGATAGGTGGATCGATCTCGGAAGGTGTTCTTTGTTACCAAATAGAAAAGATAACGCGATCCATCTAGAAGTTTTAATGCTTTTCCAGGGGCTGGTAACTGATCTTGAAGTTCTGGCAATCGACCAAACTTCTTCCGGAATACAGATGCCAGTTAAACTAAATGTTTAATGAACATCTAGGTTCTCGAACACAGGACCGTCTTTGTTATGTTTCAAACAGTTTTGAAACATCGACAATAAGGAAATTTTACAGTATTTTTAATTTTTCTTTATTAAATTTATTACAGGGTAAAAAATTACTCATTGATTAGTAATTTTAATTACAAATTTCTAGTTTATTTTGTTATTAGTCAATAGGTATTTAATTTTTACGAGTTAAGTTTAAAAGGGTTTCATATAATAGAAATGAGAAATACAGTAATATACGTTTATAATTTGGAGCACCTTAAATTAATTTTTCCGCCTACCTCTATCCAAAGTATATATTTCCTGGCCTCATTGCAGGGAGCAAATTTGTACTTTTCCTCCCTAGGGAGGAAAAGTACTTTTACTCCCTAGGGAGGAAAAGCAAGTGACGTCATGGTATGTCATAAATGAAATAGATTATACGGCATTGACGACCTAAACTATATTCTATTATATAAGTATAAATATTACCGTTTATTTATAGAACACCCTGTATTTTGCAAAATAGTAAAAATCAGTAAATTGTTATTTTAATTTAACGATTTTTACATTAATAATTTGACTTCAATTCATAGATTCATCCGATTTTTGAATTTAGGACAGAAATATTATAGCATGCTATGGTCGATTGACAGATCAGTTTCAAAGTGTGTTACGCTATAATATATCTACAAAATATAAAATAATATTTAGAAAATGAGTGATTCAAGCGAATTTGAAGATACAAATAATACACCACCGGATATTTTGGAACAGGTTAATGCAACAGTACAATCTCTATTACCCCAAAAATCTAAAGAAAAATACGAAAAACAGTATTTACATTTCAAGCAATGGGCCGAAGAAAAGCATATTCGTACTTACTCAGAAAATGTTATTTTGGGGTATTTTTCGCTATTAGCAAATACATTAAAAGCCTCTACATTGTGGTCCAAGTATTCAATGCTGCGTACCATGCTTCAAATAAAAGAAAATGTTGATATTAAATACCCAAAATTAATTGCTTTCTTGAAAAGACAAAACCAGGGATATAAACCTAATAAGGCAAAAACCTTCTCAAGAGAGGAAGTAAATAAATTTTTAGTAGAAGCCCCCGATAATAATTATTTATTAATGAAGGTAAGATATTTTAAAGAAGTAAATATATTTAAAAAATAAAAGTTAAACGGCAAATATTATAATAGAGCTACAACAATACGCTATGTTTAGAATTCCGCAAAAGTTGCCTGTAAGTTCCGGTAGCGCAATTAGTTGGTGCACCGCTCACTGTCCATGATAGGCTTGTAGGTGTTGGTTCAAATTCCAACGTCGACGGCTTTTTTTCTTTTTTTTTTTAATTTATTTTTTTAAATTGTTTATCTTTGTTTTGTAGGTACTTCTCATTTTCAGAATTTCAGGAGCATGCAGATGTGACGAACTCCTTAAAATGGCTACTACAGATATTGAAGATAATGGTTCAATTTTAATAGTAAATATACCAGATTCTAAAACAAATATACAGAGAACGTTTGTAATCAATACTTCACCGGGGAATGACCCTAATTATATTGACATTTATAGAAAATATATATCGCTACGCCCTAAAACAGATCAGACTCGTTTATTTGTCTGCTATAGAGCAGGAAAATGTATCAACCAAATGGTTGGAAAAAATACTATTGCTAAAATTCCTAAAAAAATTGCAGAATTTTTAAAACTGCCTAACGCCATAAATTATACCGGGCATACTTTCGGAAGAACCTCGGCAAGTTTACTTGCAAACTCTGGAGGAGACATTCTTGCTTTAAAGCAACACGGAGGTTGAAAGTCTACGAATATCGCTGAAGGGTATGTGGAGCAATCTCTTGCAAAAAAGAGAAAAATTTCGAATCAAATTATGGGAGTCACTGAAGTTAATGAAATTGATTGTAATCAGCCAAGTACAAGTACTTCCGAAGGGTACCAGCTGTATAATAATGTTTGTGAAAATATCATGAAAACTGCATTGGCTCCAACTCTCACTTCTAGTGGTATTCAAATAACCACTGCTCAAAACTGCACGTTTAACATTAGTATAAATAATTACTCTACCACAAATTAAAAATATGTAGGATTCAAGAATGAAAATAACGTGCCTATAATTTATACTGTACCTACTTCTTAATTTTAGTTCTTTAATAAATTTTGTTTGTTAATTTCATAAATAAATTATTTAAAAATGACTTGTTATTTGAGGGAGGCGGAAAAATCATATGTATTACTTGGGAGTAAAGTGCCTTTTTCTCCCTTGGATGTTTACTACCCTCCGCTTCGCGTCGGGAGGAAAAGTGGCACTTTCCTCCCTAGTAATACAAATAGCTATTTTATTAAAATAAACGTGTATGCAGCTTCCTTATTTGACTAGACTTTTAATACCTAGTAAATTTTATCCCCCCCCCCCCCCCCCCCCCATTAAAAAGCTAAATCCGCCCTTGCTTTTGGTAATGGCGGAAGATGTTAAAAAGTGACTATTTTTTGAGTTCAGAGTTGGAATTTCCTTTGAATAACATAATGGTATCTTCTCTATTCGGATTCGCTTCACATTGTAATCATAATGAATTTTAAAGTATTCTAAATATTCTTTTTCAGAACACTACAATAGGCATGGACTGGATACACAGTGGCGTATCCACAGCCGTTCCGAGGAACGCGGGACAGGAATGCGCCGATTACCTAAATCCAAAATGGAGGATCATCGAATCGATTCTAGCGCTCAGTTTCGCCGGTTGGTTAATCTATACATGCTATCCTAAGCTGTCGTTGCCAAAAAGAATATACGTGCGCAAGGATTCGAACGAACGAAGGACGTTATTGGTGTTGATGTGTATTGTTTTGGGGTTGGAAATCGGGTACAAATTTTCAACTAAAACTGTGATATTTTTGTTGAATCCTTGTCATATAACTACGGCCATACAGGTGAGCTACATAACATTATCGTTTTTTATACAAATTTCAAATTCAAAACTATAAAATGAAATAATCAAAAAATACTTACACTCAATATTTCTTTTCTTATAAAATTAAGCGTAAGTAGTGAGGCTGAATTTAAACAATTTGGTAATAATAAAATGGTGTGACAACATAGAAAAATAAAATTTGGATTTTTCTTCCGCAATTTGCTCACTAGAAAGGCCTTGTTACTAATATTAGATTTCATTTCAACTGTTAAAAGGAAAAATATAATAAATATATCCAACAATAGGTTTTATTTAAACTATAAGCAACTATATATTTTTTTAAATATTTACCTAATTAACGTTTCAGTTACCTACCAGCTACTCATCAATATTAATGTAGATACTTACAAAAATTAATTTAAAATTGTTTGTTGTATTTTTATGAAGAGTATTTAACATATTAAATGTAGTAGTTAGGGTTAGGCTCTTGGGACTAGGGCAGTTCGGGAAGAAATATTGTGACCAAAATTGGTATATAGATGTATTATCCCAAAAGTATGAAAATCGCTTAAAAAAATTTCGGTCTCTCCATCCCTCAGCTGATATGGAGTGGGTGTCACCCTCAAAAAATAAAGTTACAATTTTTTTAATTAAACATCTACGATTTTTCTACATAGAATCCCAAAATTTAAAATATTTTCGATCAAATTTGATTTTGAATTGGATTTTGATCTCATCTGTAAATATTTAGGTCAAAAATTTTTCAAAGTCCAAAAATAATTTTCGAAAAATGTGAACAAAAAAATTTTAAATTTTGAGTGTGTATGTACAGGGTTTTTCATTATATTTTGACCATTACTTATTTTCATAATTCTTGTGAACTCAAAAAAAATTTCAAGTAAAAGCTTCTTTGTTTTATCTCAACTTTTTCGCCTACAGTATAACCCATTACAAGTAATCAATTGACAACTTTTATTAAACAAACAACTGTTTCACTTGGAAACATCATTTTCATAGCCATCTATGTGTTACGCTTGCATAGTGCAATAAGTCACTAAATAATTAAAATATATATTTGTAATCAGGAAATGCAAATCTACTTAAAATGACAAAAATATATATGGTGTCCCATTAAAAAAATTAAATTATATTTTGTTGGAGTCGTCCTGTATATACAATTCAGCCTGTTATTATATTTTTAGTCGGTATATAATGAAAATAAATAGCGGTCAAATTATAATGAAAAACCCTGTACAAAAAATCCTAGATTTTAACAGATTCATTTAAAAAGTTCTTACTTATTTTTTATGGGTGCCATCCCCTCCATCTTCCTATAGGGGCGGTGGTGGTAATATTTTTATACAGAAACGTTGCAAATAAGGTTTATTATAAATTTGCCAAATAAATGGATTTTTATATAATCTGTTACTATTTTTAAATGCCAGCCCCCACATCCGAACTATGATAGTCATCTTTCATAATAAAATTAAAAAAATCAGTTGCACATAAAAAGTTTTTATTTTCTAATTTTGACAATAAAGTTTTTTTTTGTCAAAATGATCTACTTTACGCAATCAGTTGCATAATGGTTACGAGACATTCATTGTGTCACCAGTTGCGAAAAGAAAACAAATAAACATAAATCATTTTTGGTGTTTTAATCAATATATACATTTAGTTTATATCAAAGAAGAGTAGGTTGACTTGAGTAATAATGTTGTTTTGGTCCTTATTTTCCATTTTAAATCAGCACAAAATAATTTAAACAATACATGACAAAATAACCCACTTTTTTGAAAACTAAATAACTTTAATAAGCAAAATACCACACTGGCAAATCTAAAAATAGGAAGAGTTATTTCAGTTAATGGCTTAACTTCAATGCTATTATTTCAGTGATATATTTGTGTTTACTTGTGCAGTGTTGCCAAATTTATCTATTTTGAATTTTTGCCAGTGCGCATCTAATTCTGACTTGCCATCTCAATTTTGTTGCACTGTACAAGTCGTTGAGAATAAACAATTAATATGATGTTCTATTTGTGACAAATAGACAAATAATTTATCAATAAAATGATGCATATGCAACTAACAATACAGGAAAGTAATATTGGTTGCTTAGATGTTAGCAGTGTTTTACCAAAACACAATTTTATAAATATTCTAGTCAAAACTAGAAAAAATATTTTTTGTAACACGTTACGACATGCCATTTCATGTAACTCGTTCATGTTGCGGGACCTCATTCTGCAAATATTCGCTTGCCGCATAAAATAAGGCATTTCGTAATTGGTTGCATAAATAGCTATTTTTTAAACAGAATCACAAACAGAAAGAAAAACAATTTCTTTTTTATTAAAGTTAATAGCGATTTAACCAAGTGGCCGTTAATATCTTTTATATCTTTAAATGCGTTATGCCAACGCATCTTAAATTTTATAGAGTACGTACTTTTAGATTACCTACTTAAGTACTTATAGTGTACTTAAGTACTTTTAGTGCGCTTATGCCTTTAGCATTTTTTACATTTTAAGCAAAAAGTACTCAAACCAAATGTAAGTAGGTACTTAAGTACAAGTTTCAGAACTAATACTTACCTACAAGTTTAATTAAGTACCATTACATGAATTACTTAAATGTACTTAAAAGTAAGTGCATAAATTAATTACTTTCAGTAGTCAGTACCGCAGCTGTGACTGAAATATTGTACCTTAGAAAAGGCAGAAATAAGGTTAAATCAAGAAAAAGTTGTATATGTGAGAAGTAAATTGGCAGAACTAGAACTAATACTAGTAATATCATTAAGAACCGGATTTAAAATATTTTAAACAACTTGAAGTTATTTTTATTTAAATTGATAATAATTTGGATATTTCTTTTACAGATATATATGTTAGCAGCCAAACCTAGCAAAATTGTGACTGCTTTATTTAGATTTCATCTTAATTTAATGAATGGACCAGTTTTAGCGTATATGTTTCCAGAAACTGATACCAGAATAGTAAGTATAACAATTTTCACAAAAGTTTTATTTTTTAAGACAAATCTGTAAGCATATGATGTATATAAAACGTAACTAATTTTATTCATTCAAAACAACCAGAATTTTGTTCGGTTTTATGATTGTTCTTACTGAAATCCGGGATGCACTGAGAAACAAAGAAACGGTCATGAGTGTCTTCTTATAGATATAGAAGCAGCGTTTGAAAAACCGCCGGGTGAATCTATTAAAAGAGCCCTCGTATACAGAAGACTAGATAGCACCACATCTAGAGGGATGGCTCAGTTGCTATCTACGAAAACTGCAGAGGCACAGATAGGGCAGAACACCATCTCCATCTGCACGACCAGAGGCTATCCTATCCCCACTAATGTGGAGCCTAACCGTAGACGAACTTCTATGCAGATTAACTGACCTCGGCATATCCTGTCAAAGATATACCGACGACATAACCATGTTTTCTAGAGACAAGTTTGAAAATATCCTATGTGAAATAACATAAAAAAGACTAGAACAGACCAGAATATGGTGTCACCAAAACAACGTTATAAGCCTTTTCAAGGAAAAGAAAACTCAGTCTTAAAACCGCTAAATTAAACGGGATAGATATACAATGTAAAAAAGAAGTCATATATCTAAGCCTAACCCTGGATAATAAATTTCTTTGGATTATAAATTAGAAGAAAGTAGTAAATAAGACCACAAAAGCCCTAATAGTATTAATACAGGAATATTGCGAGAAAAAGATGGAGATGTAACCCGAACAGTTTGCGATAGATGTATACAGCAATTGTGAGACCAATAATCACTAACCCTTCTGCAGCATGGAATAACAGACGTAGTATAGCTTGTGCAATGAGAACTTGTCCTATATCCGCAATGGAAGTGATCTTAAACCTCACACCTCTATATATTGTGACAGGCTTTTTGATTCACTTGCTGTGAAGGAGGAAGTCGTGTTTGGCGCTGAGGTGGTGAAATCAAAACAAGGGTTGCTCAGACGCCAGTTTTACTCTACGACCATGTAGTATACCAGAGTGTACTCAATAGGTGAGTTCAGGCTACGCACTCTTTTCACTATATTCACTCCTAAAGTACCTAAGGCGTTCGGGAACGGAAGGAGTTAAAATAAAAGTATAATATGAATTGAATTTGCGATTAAATAATTGTTTAAACAATAAAAATTATTAAATAAAAAGCAAGAAATCAAATGGTAGTTACAGTACTCCGTGTATAATAAAAAATTAATTTTTAATTAAGAATTATTTCATTAAACCAAAAGAAATAAATAGAACGGTGGTTACAACACTCCCTCTATAATAGAAAATAAATTTTTCAAATAATGATCTGAACAAAAATCTTGAACAATAATATTGTTTAAATCCAAAGTAACAAATCAAACCGTAATTGCAGTACTCCCTGTATAATGGAAAATGAATTTTAAATTAAATGATTTGTGTAAACACAAGAGTTAAACAATAAATATTATTTAATCAGAACGCAATAAATTAAACGGTTATTACAGTACTCCCTGTATAATAGAAAATATGAACCATTCGCCTGCTTCGGTACGAGCCAGGATAAAAAATGGAGAATCCTAAGTTATTCCCAACTTCTAACACCTAGACGATTCCAGATTGGGATTACAAATATTAAATTCTTTATGTACAGGGGCGGTTCACATGGTTCGGTTTGAGCATCGAAACAAAATAAATTCCGTAAAAAAAATAAACGGTGTAGAGTTAGGGTTAGGGACTTGAAAATTACTCTGGTTTTTTACGAAATTCGGTAGAATATGGAACAGTACGAAACACTTGTGTCAGTTGTTTACCAAACCTCCGAAATATTCCCAGCGGTTTTCCAAACAAACAAAATAAAGGAATGAAGGAAAACTAAATTAAAATGAACGTTTTATAAATAAAATTTAGTGACTTTGTCACATCACCTAATAAAAATAAACATTATAATAATGAATAAAAAATAAAATTTAGTGACTTCGTCACAATATAATGGCAGAGAACCTGGTAGAAAGGACAATATATAGAATGGTAAGGAAAGTAGTAATTATAGGAAAGCCCATTAGGATCGAATATACTTCTGGTATGATCCATTAGGAAAGTACAGTTTTGTAAAAAACTAGAAAGTCACAGAGCTGGGCTGTCAGAAAGAATGAAGCCAAGAACCAATCGTGTTAGCAACCGAAAGTTATGCAATTCAGTGGCATACGGATGGTTTCAAAACCACAAAAGGAACTGGAATAAGAGTGCTTAGGCTTAGAAACCAGTACACTGGAAGTTTGGATAAATACTCAAGCAACTTCCAGGAGTTCCTAGCGAAAATTTACGCAATTGAGACGTGAGTTTAGTTAAACGTATATAAAAACTTTCGCTGACAAGAGATTATGATAATTTCCGAAAGCCAAGCAGCCATCAGTGCGCTGAGTTCTTACCTATTCAGATCAAAACTGGTCTGGAAATGCCTAGAAAAACTAAATGTGCTCGGCGAGAAAAATACAGTTACTCTTACTTGGGTTCCGGGACAAAACGGGGTAAAGTGTAACCAGAGTGCAGATAGTCTCCCAAGGAGGACTCAAACGCCCTTTTTGGGATCTGACCCGTTAAGGGTTGTTTTAATTTTTAAACCTACCTATAATCAATAAACTTTAATGAATTTTTAATAGAGTTTGTCGATATTTCCCAAACTGTGATTTAGTCAAGGGTAATATACCAAGACCTTGATAATAATATAATAATATTAATGAAGGTCATGGTATATTTGGGACGACTATTTCAATAGACCAAATATCGACTATTTTTCTAGAGAAATAGTTGCTGATATTTGGTCTAGGGAGATAGTCAAGATACCAAGACCTTGATAATAGTATTTTTGTTGAATCTAAAACTGGCAGACTATTAATCAAGGTCGTGTTATATTTGGGACGACTATTTCACAAGACCAAATATCGACTATTTCTCTAGAGAAATAGTCGCTGATATTTAGTCTAGGGAGATAGTCACTGATATTTAACGTAATAGTAACAGTTCGTAAATACTTTGTAATTTAAAGTATGATACTCATAATTTTAAATTTAAAATTTTTAGTTGCCTCTAGAAAGATCTGTATATTGGATTCAGCATGGATTGATGTTTGTCGTGCCTTATCATCTTTTACGTTTAGGAGGTAATTATTTAGTTTCGCCATAACATCAAACCTCAACAAACCAATGCATTGCTTTAACAGAAAATGGTAACTAACTTATTCTCTAAAGTTTCTACTTTTTTGTTCAGGAGAGTTTAATATTGAAGACACTTGGGACATGTCATGGTGTGGTGTTAGTTACGGCATAAATCTCATTTACCATTTTGTCGTTCTTCAGGGATTTTCAATTGTAAGTAATAAAAAAAGAGAAACAAGAAACATCAGGTGTTACGGGACTTTAACTCTCTTTATCTTTATTTTCAGCCAACAAAGGTGAATCTCAACCACATGTTATGCCCCGCCATCTTGGATCCATTCGAAAGTCAATTATACAGATCAGCGGCAGTGGCTCATCAAGCTATAATGTGTCCTTTACTTTGTAAACTTTACAGCTCAATAGCAACTTATTGTAAGAAAGTGCAGTCGGCTAGGGTAACCCCCTGACATTCCGAAGTGACAGATGGAACCATGGATGACAGTCAGAGCAAAATGGAAGAAAATAATCAACATTTACACCAGAATTGAATAATTTTTTTTTAATATGAATGTTGATAAGACATTGCTGTCTTCGTGTTGAATTACCTTATAATTTTTATTATTTACACTAACTTGTCGTCAGTGGTTATATAGTCCGTCAGATAGTGACAGATTTAGGTGTCCCAGTTTTGCATACAAGCCTCGAAGAGGGTTGAAAAGTACATAGATTTTAAGTAGAATGAAAGGAAATTTACGAGTGGCTGCTAAGGATAACATATGGAAAATTCGATTTCCCCTAACAAAAACGAAAGGTTATTTGTTGCCCATTTTTCCACACAAGCCGTTTTCACTATATGATTAATTAATAGAACTAGGCTTCGGAAAACCAAAGGCTTTAATGTTGCAAGTGGTTAAAGGTTTGGAATAAGGGCGTAATCTTCTAAGGAAAAATCGAGATTTTGCACGATTTTTCCACACAAGCCCATCGAATGTATGAAAACGTACGTCGTCACTAGTCCGAAAAACATATTTTCTTGAATGATTCGAATGTATTAAGTGCATTTTGGGTTCGGAGAATTTTTCTGGTAGGGAAAATCGAATTTTCTGTGTGTTATCCCCAAAAGCCACTCGTAAATTTTCTTTTATTTTACTCAACATTAATGTACTTTTCAACCCTCTTCGGGGTTTGTATGCGAAAATGGGGCACCTAAATCGGTCACTAGCTGACGGTCTAATAGTATCTTTAAATACATTATACCAACGCATTTTAAATTGCGTATAGTACTTTGCTTTTAGAGTACATACTTAAGTACTTTTTATGGTACTTAAATTTGATTTTTTTAATATTATAAGAAAAAAGTAATTAAAGCAAAGTTAGGTACTCAAGTACAAGTATTCGAAATTTTTGAGGTATTTAAAGTATGTACTTAAAAGTACCTACATATTTTAAGTACTTTCGGTAATCAGTACCACGCTTATCAACAGTTGCAAAACATTCTTTTGTGAAAAAAAACCTTTAGCTAAAACGCTAAAATTGGAACTTTTCTTCAAAATACAGACAGATATTACAGATATTTAACAAACGAGTGAAGATAAGGTTGAATGTATTGATTTGCTCTATATAGTACATATTTACAATGAGTACAAAATACTTTTTATTTTTTTGAAAACTGAGGTCAATACCTGTTGTCAAAACAATAATATATACAGGGTGAGTTTCTAGTATAAGATCTTGAAAATTAATTTAGTTCTACAGCTTGGTAAATTGGAAAAGATTAGTTTTGTGTTATATGTATTTTAATGTGCTTACCTTTTTATTAATTACGAGGCTCACTACATTTTCTAAACTGAGGTGTGTTTCTATAATCTTTATATGTCTGCTAATATTGCTACAACTAAAAATAATTATGAATACTGTAGATAAATACATTTTGCAAGATAAGTAAATTTTTTATACCACCTGCCATTTCTGAGTAAAAAACAGACCGTTTTAAATTTATCTAACTACAAAATTTTCTCAGTTAACCAACTTTATAGCATTAACGCATTAACCATGTTCTAATAATTATTTTTGGCTAAACTAAACTAAAAAAACTCACTTTGTATGTTAAAAACTCATGTGTACCTACAAATAGTAACGTGGTAAATGTATGAGGTTGAAATGAAAAATGTGTCCTTTTTTCAAATTTTTCAATCCAATCTCATTACAAACGTACTCTAATATTTTCAAAACGTTGATAATTTACCATAAACTTGTCTTCCATCAAATATTTATTTCATCCTGTCCAGTAAATCTGCTAACCTTGTACTCATTTGCGGCCGGTAAATTGAACATTACTATCAGATACCGTGTAATGTGTTAATTAATTAATATTATTTGGGTAGTTCGTATCTATGCTTTTTTTTTAAAAGGATTATACAGACAGGATGAAATAAAATATTACACGATACACGTCCGTTAGGTGTTAAGTCACCGAACGAACTTGTAACGTAAAATATTGTTTCTTTATTAAATAACTATTGCAGACGTAGATAGGTATTTAACGTAGGTATTTCATCATTCTAATTGTTATTGTTTGCAACATAGAGTAGGTATAGGTAACAGTCAAGATACAAAAAATTACAGACGAAATCTCGAGTTCGCGCATGACATATTATGGGTGTGGAATGGCTATCTGATTGGCGATGAGGGCGAGCGCGCTGTTTTCGATCAGCTAATACCTCAAATTCGTAAAACCCACGCCTCCATACCACAATACGTCACCATGACGTAGTATCTATTAATCGGCGTAACAGCAGTATTTTAGATTTTTTCTATACCTATAATAAGTAAGGTTAGGTATATATTTTGTTAATCACAGTATTATCACATGTACTTATGTAGTTTTTATGCCTATCAAAAATAATTTCTAGATATTTTCAAGAATATGTACCGAGTTCGCTAAGTTAAAATTTAAAATCTAGTCACCCTAATTATGTTTCATTAAAAAAAGATTCGAATAGTGGCTATTTTATGCAAAACAAACATACTAAAACTCATAACAGTATTATTATGTCTTAAGCAATATAATTAAATATCACTAGGTTGTAGGACATTCAGTAATATAGATAGACTTTTTAATAAGGAATGCATTATTTTACTAAAGGAATTTATGGTTCCTTGAGCAAAATTTAGAAGTTTTTTTTAATATTTACAAGTAAATACAATAAATACAGGGTGATTCATAACTATTGGGACATAGATTAAGGGCAGGTTATTTAGATCAAAATATGGCGATAGGACCAAATATACCTTAATAAAATATGGCTGTGGAATAATATACAGGGCGTTAAAGTTGAATTTTTTTTTTCGTTTTTTTTTATAATCTCACTGTATATTTATGAATTGTTATCAAAATCGGCTCAAATGCATATCTTTGGACAAGGGATATTATTTTATGTATTATTTAACATTTTTTTACAGGGGGCGCCACGAGAATGATTCCTGATGATGAAATTAAGTGGTAAGTTTTTTTGCCGAAACGTTTTAGTGCTTTTTATTAGAAAATATTACGTAAACATCATTTCTACGTAATATTGGTACCCCTGTTTAAACACGATAATTTCACCTGTTTTCGAAAAAAACGCAATTGAACAGTTCAGAGTCTCAGAAGGATATTTCAAAAAATATTTTATTTATTAAAAGTGTGCTTTGGACTGTCAGATAATTGTGTCTGGTAAATGTCAGTTCTTGCCAATGAATTATTTTTGCTGTGAGATTATAGTCTATTGTTGCATTTTTTACAGCTTTTTCGACTGAAATGCCTCGTCACAATCATTTTACGAATGAAGAAATACGGGATATGGTTTGTGTATATGCACAAGAAACTGTTTGCGGTCGCATGGCAGCCAGAAGGTATGAATTGTTATATCCAGACAGAAGACAACCAAATCACAAAACTTTTGCAAATTTATTTCATCGTTTGGGTGAAACCGAGTCATTTCATAGTAAAAATCTGGGTGGTCGTCCGAAACAAATCACACCTAATGAAGAAGATGAAATTTTGGTTCGAGTAGATGAAAATCATGAAGTAAGTTCACGTCAACTGGCAATAACAACAGGAGTAAGTCAGTCGTCTATTATTAGAGTTTTAAAAAAAGAAAAGTTTCATCCTTATCACTTCACTCCTGTTCAAAATTTGCTTCCAAGAGATCTCCCAAGACGGTTACAGTTCTGCCAACGTATTCTCAACAAACATAATGATGACCGAAATTTTATTAAAAATATTATGTTCACCGATGAAGCGACTTTTACTAGACGAGGTGTTTTTAATTATCGAAACAGTCATCACTGGGAAGAAGAAAACCCGCATGCTCGTAAAGAAAGACATTTTCAACATGAGTTTAAATTTAATATTTGGTGTGGCATTATAGGCGACCAACTACTAGGGCCATATCGTCTTCCTCCAAATTTAAATGGAGATTCCTATTTATTTTTTTTGCAAAATACTTTTAGAGATATTTTGGATGATATGCCACTAGATGTAAGAAAGAAAATGTGGTTTATGCAGGATGGAGCTCCACCTCATTTCCCATTAGTTGTTAGAAATTATCTAAGTGACATATTTCCTCAATGTTGGATTGACAGAGGAAGTAATTTTGAATGGCCACCAAGAAGTCCTGACTATTCGCTCCGTGCGCGACAGCAGCGCCAATTCGTTTTGATACTAATGGAGGATTTCGGCGTATACTGACAAATGCAACTTTTAATAGAATTCGTAATTAAAAAGTATACATGTTAGTTTTAATAAAAGTATATGGATTTGTAAAACAAGTAAAACATTAATTTATTATTATTATATATTTTTATCGCTTAAATTAAAGAAAATTATGTATAATTGATAAAAATCCATAATAAAATATAGGCAGGCAACAGTATTTACAGGAAAATGTATGAGAAGTTGCCTAAGTCTAATAAGTTTTCATTGAAGAATTAGTCTATTCTGTCAAAATACAAAAATACCATTTAATAATAGCGTGAAGTTAAAATGTATAAAAAAGGATCATTACTTATATATTCATTTTTGTTCGAAAGAAAACATAGAATGAATGATTAAAACTGATTTCCTATCAGTAATTTACAAAATTGCGTTCCAACCACATATAATAATCAAAGGCAGAAATCTTGAAATCTAGTCCTTGCTGAATGAACATTTAAGAATAAGGGATATTAAAGAACATGGTAAAATGATAATCTATTGTTGATTTAAAACCTTTCAAGTTTCTGATGTCTACTATTTGCAGCATTACGGTTATTATTACAAAAATAAAGGTAATTTTCCTTCTTATTGTATATCTATCCATTCATTTCTTTAATTTAATTTCCACTTTGCTACTGAAATTTTTTATATAAGTTTCACTGTTTTTATTGCTAGTATTTGTACAATTTTCAACACAGTAACTCCGGTTGCTTATTGTATTGTTTTTACCTACTTTTTTTGAAAAAAAGTAAAATGTATACGTGTATTTGATATGCCAAAATTACAAAATATCCCCCTAAAATGCACGAATTATCCGCAGCTAGCGCTAGTATCGCTTTTGCTTCCCTTTCCATGACTTCGCACGGAGCGAATAACCCTCTTGATTTTTATGTATGGGGACATATGAAGTCCTTAGTTTATACCCAGGAAATTAATTCACGAGACGAACTCTGGAGGAACATACAAAATGCGGGTAATGTTATAAGGGGACAGAATAATATTTTCTTTGCCATCCGAAAGTCCTTTATTAAAAGAATTAGAAAAGGCACAGAAGTCGGAGGAGGTCACATTGAACATTTAATTTAAGTTTGCTTTTTTTATGTTACATTGTTTTTAATTTTGCTTTACCGTTGAAATAGAAGCCTTACGTTACAAGTTTTCTTATTGTGTTATTTGGAATCCCCTTCTGAGACACTGAACTGTTCAATTACGTTTTTCTCGAAAACAGGTGAAATTATCGTGTTTAAACAAGAGTACCAATATTACGTAAAAAATAATTTTTAGGTAATATTTTCTAATCAAAAGCACTAAAAAGTTTCGCCAAAAAAAGTTACCACCTAATTTCATCATCAGGAATCATTCACGTGGCGCCCCCTGTAACAAAATGTGAAATATTACATAAAATAACATTCCTTTTTCAAAGATATGCCTTTGTGCCGATTTTGATAACAATTCATAAATAGTGACATTATCAGAAAAAAAAATTCAACTTTAACGCCCTGTATCTTATTCCATAGCCATATTTTATAAAGGTATATTTGGTCCAATCGCCATATTTTGGTCCAAATAACCTGCCCTTAGCCTATGTCCCAATAGTAATGAATCACCCTGTATATTATACATACAAAACTTTGTCAATAATGAAATATTTCTAATTGGTTAATAACCATTTTTGTTTATAGTGTAGATAAATAATTATTGTATACATTTAAAGTTATATAGTAGAATAAATTAACGCTTAAAATGAGTCGTCGACCATAAAAAATAATGGTATTTACATATATATATATATATATATATATATATATATATATATATATATATATATATATATGAAATTTACATTTTTCTGTAGCTCAGACAATTTTTTATATAATTAAAAATAATTTTTTAAGTGATGAATTTAGTACTTAATTGTTATACGAGTATTTAGGAATAATTAAAATGAGACTAGTCCATTCTCTATTTTTTTCAGTGTAAGTTACATTTTGTCAGATCGCCATTTTTAATGATCTAATAAAATGGAACCCTTAGTTATTGTATCAAGTAAATTTAATATAAAAAAAAAAGAATAAAACTTCTCGAAGAAGATAATGAGTTATTTATTTCTAAATTCGAATTTTGCCTTTTAGTACTTTTTTGCAAAACCGTAATTTGTATTTTAAATCACGCTCAAGTATCCGAGTTATGAGTAAATACGAGGAAGAATCTTAAAAAAATTTAGGCTGCCAAAACAATTTCAAATTCAATACTGTAACAAGATAAGGGGTTCGGAGACTATCGATCTTAGAGCGTTTATGAAAATTTTAAACCCAGGTTAGTGTGTTGACGAATTTATTAAACTAAAAAACATACATATGAATACAAAATACATTATACAATAATTTAAAATACGTAAACCAGGGACAATGAATATATATGTAATAAATCACAAAATTCAAAATTCCCCACAGGGTTTTAATTCAACTTTGATTATTTATTGGTTGACATGGATATGATTAATTTTTGGTAACCCCGTAACTAACTAGGGAATTTTGCTACAACTTGTCCCCCCTGAATTCTGAACTTATTTTCCAATAACCAACAACATTTATTGGAAAAATGTTCAACTGAAAGTTTATTCATAAAATGGTTTTAGATGGCAGACATGAAATGTTCCTCGCTCCCTGTTATTATCACGGTACCTACTCTAAAAGATATGTAACTGGAGTAATAACCTTTTTAATTCTATACGGTCCCTCGAATAACAACAAGAATTTTTTTGTTTCAGCTCTTATCAGTGAAGATGTATTATTTGCCTTTAATAAAACTAAGTCCCCAACCTTAAACGGTTTATACGGCCTACTTGGGTGAGAGATCTTTCTGCGTTCAGCCTTTCCCATAAGCGTTTCCTTGGCTAGAATTAATTTTTCTGCTGCATTGATCTTATGCAATTTATTGTTTGGGGGTCCCTGATAAAAACAAGGCAATATTCTTTTTTATCGAGTCCCAAATGCAAGTCGTTTGGACTGTAACCGGTGGATTCGTGACATACCGAATTAAGCAAATCTGCAAAACTCGATAGTTCATTTGCCCACTTTTTATGATTGTCGGTACAGTAAGTCCTCACTAACCTACCTAGCTCGCGCATTACTCGTTCCGCCGGATTTCCTTGCGGATGGCGAACTGAAGAAAATGTTACCCTTACTCCTATCTCATTTAACGTTTTGGTCCATTTTTTTGCCGTAAACTGTGTCCCGTGATCATTTAACACTGTCTCCACAATTCCCATGGCTTGAAAGTACCCTGAAATCAATCTGTTTAATATGGCTCTAGTAGTTGCTTTCTTAAGCGCATAGAAAGTAACGTATTTGCTGAATACGTCCAGTAAAACTAAAACATATTCAACTCCACCCCTACTTTTTGGTAGTGGCCCATATAAATCCAGGGCAAGAATTTCATTCTTTTTCGACGGAATTATGGCATTCAGTTCAGGTTTCGGCATTATTGCGGCCTTTGCCTTTTGACATATATGGCACACTTTGCATACCTTTTTGACATCCTTAAACATATTATTCCACCACATTCCTGATTTCAAAGCTTTCCAC